AGGCAGCACTGAGTCCTCATCCCATCCTACCTTCTGCTTTTGCAGGGTGCTTTCTTGGATTTCTCCCTAGTTGTATGACTTGTTCATCTAGATCCCAGGCAATTTTTCTTTGCTGCTGCTCCTTGTTTCCATCACAACTTTGATTTGGTCGCCAGAGGGATGAACAGAGCCTCTATCATCTACGCCATTTTTTTCTCCTAACTTTTGTCCTTTTAATTATGACATCATAATTAAATGTGTGGTGTGGGTCTTTTGGGGTTCCTCTTGTTTGGGATTCTCTGTGCTTCCAGGACTTGTTTATTTATTTCCTCTGGCAGTTTAGGGAAGTTTTCCATCATTATTTTTTCAAATAGTTTCTCAATTCCTGTTCTCTCTCTTCTCCTTCTTGTACCCCTATGATATGAATGTTGTTACACCTGATGTTGTCCCAGAAGTCCTTTAAACTATTCTCAATTTTTTTGAATTCCTTTTTTTTTTTTTTTTTGCCATTCCAATTGGGTGTTTTCTGCTACCTTGTCTTCCAGATTGCTGCTTTGGTCTTCTGCTTCATCTAATCTGATATTTATTCTTCCTAGTGTATTCTTCATATCAGTTATTATATTCTTCATTTCTGACTGGTTGTGATTCCTATGTCCTTTTTAATGCTTACTATCTCTTTGTTAAAGTTCACACTAAGTTCCCTGAGCATTTTTATAACCAGTGGGTGGGATTTACCCTCAGGCGGACTGGTCGTGAGAACTGGCCATGACCATGACATACAAACTGCTGTGTGTGGGCTGACCCCACAGAGCAGAATTTACCACAGCAGGCTCTGGTGTCTGTCGAGATCATTCTTGGTGTGCCACTTCTTGGACTAACTGAATGCTGTTCTGTTTTGGTCTGAAGGATGCCACCATGTGTGTTGATTCTGAGGCCTCCTGGGAGGGGCTCTTGTGCAGGTCAAGGTCAGTTGCTGCTTGTGATCAGCCCAAGGGCTACCTAGTAAGAGCTACAAAGCAACCTGCAGTTGGTCGCTGCCTGTTCTGGACCTGGAGGCACATAGAAGAGACCACACTGTGAACTTAGGCTAGCTTCCACTATACTGGGCCTGAGACAGCTCAGAAAAGGCCCAGGGCACCCCAAGGTCTGCTGTGGCCTGCCAGATGCTCATAAGTCTCAGCAGCTGAAAGATCCTCAGGCAATACGTGAGCGGGTGAGGCGGGGTCTCAGGGAGACATCAGGGTGGGGTGAGTGGTGTTCACCAGGTTTATGCAAATTCAGATTTGGCATCAGTCCTGAGCCTGGGCTACTCAGCAAAAGGCACAGAGCACACTGAGCCATAAGGTCAACTGCTGCCTACCTGGGACCTGCAAATCCCCAAGAGTTGTCCAAAAAAGACTGCAGCTCAGGCCAGGGCTGGCTGCCTTCAGCCAAAAGAGCCTCCAGCAGTGTGCAAATTAGGTGGATGGAGGCTTTAGGGAGTCACCAGGATGGAGTGAGCGAAGTTTACCAGACTAATGCAGGTTCAGATTTGGCCATGTGCGGTGAGTGAGAGCTCAACACAGGAAAGATGATGCTGGCCTGCCGGCCGCATGAGAGGAGGGCTCAACACAGGAACAGTGAAGGCTGTCCTTCTAGCCCTCATCCTGAAGCCACACAACCCTGTATGTCTCTGGAGCTTCCTGAGCTGCCAACCTTCTGCCAGAGCTCAGGTTGAGTGCCTTGGAGTGAGAGAGTCTGTGCGCAGTCCTTTAAGAGGACGTTTGGGTTTCCAGCAGCCTTTCATCTTAACCTGACAGACAAAATCCCTGCTGATTTTTACAGCCAGATGTTGTGGGGGTTCCTCTTCCTGACACTGGCACTCTGGGCTGGAGAACCAAGTGGGACTAGAATTCCTCCCTCTTAGGGGGGACCTCTACAGCTGAGATATTCCTCCCAATTCTCAACCACCACACATGGGTGTGGGGTCAGCCTGTTTTTGTCTCTGCTCCTACCAGCTTCCATGTGACTCCTTCTTTACATTCTTAGTTATAGGACTTCTGTTCAGCTAGTGTTCATATGATTTCTCAAATTGATTGAGCTGAAATTTAGTTGTAATTTTAATGTGATCCATCTCTAGGTTTCCTGGGTCTTCCTGAATTCTTACTGCTCTCACGACCAGTGCAAATCACAGCATGACAGAAGCTGTGGCAGAGCTACCAAGGACTGTTAACAGCTAGTGATCCCAATTCCCCCTTGAGCACCTTTGTTTATTGTTTATTGGTCATGCATATTTTTTCTGAGAAATATCCATTTTAAAATTGGGTTATTTTTCTTGTTGATTCTTAGTAGTTATTCACATATTATGGATAATAGCAGAGCTTCTTAAATATAAACATGTCATTAGGAGACCCACAATTGTTGAATATTCCTATCCTGAAACAATTCTTTTGCTTATTCAGATCGGAATTTACCAACATACTCCACCTTTCTCTTCCAAGCAAATAGATGTCAAGAGTTGTATTTTCTAGGTTTTGAGACTTCGACAGGGCTGTTATCCAGATTGCCAAACCTATACCTCAGTAGAGGTTTGAGTAGTCACTTAATGTCAGAAAATATAGATTATTTGTATTATTTAGTGAATGCATCAGTCAGAATCCCATAGGAAACCAAATTTATTCTAAATTGTTCAGATGAAGAGACTTGAATAAGGCACTACTTACAGAAGTCTGAGTTAAGGAAACCCATGAGGGATGTTGTTGCATCCCAACACTAGCCACAGCAGGAAATCGTTACCTCCTTTAGGGTTAATGGGCAAGGTGAGGAGATACTGTCCTGGAGCCCCATGAAAACTGGAGCTGTAGACAAGCAGTGGCCCAGTAGGAGCTGCATCTCTCCACATGCAGCAAATCACAGCTAGTGACAGACAAGCATCACAAAAGCTGGAAAGGTATAAGAATAAAAACCCAATTATCCTCTCCTCTTACCCTCTGCCTTCCAGCCAGAGTCTCCCATCAGCTGCACCCAAGTGTAAGGCAACCAAGAAGAGATCCCAGATGATGTAGTTCATAGGGTTAGCTTCCCAGGCAAAGGGGAGGGCAGAGAAGGGTGGAAAATGGAAATGGGGGAAGCAGAGACCAGCTAGGACCATGAAATATGAACCACCTGAGACTTTCACAGGAAAAATGACAAAAGAAAGCTCACACAAGAAGGCTGCCAAGCCCTAACTATCAGTGTGCCCTTACAGTGTGTAACAGGAATCATTCTTAACATCTTAGCTCAATTAGCAAGTGTAATGGACAGTAATTTTTAGATGGTAAAGTTTAATTACACCAGAATTACATGGTAAAACTGGGACATTTTGAAAGTAATTGTACAAAGGAAATATCTCCATCTATCTATCAGGTTCTTATCAATAGAAAGAAAATAGCTATTTTATGAACATAATACAAGGATTCAGTGAGATGATGTATGTAAAGTGCCAAGCACAGGGCCTGGAACTAGTAAGCATTAAAATGCAGTTAGTTGCTATTATCATATGTGTCGTTTTATTCATTTACTCTAACATTACTAAAAATGGAGTTTGCTTCTACGTGGCTTTCTCATCATGTGACCCACTATCAATAACTTCTAGAATATCCTAATCTGATCTAGAATATTCAGCTTATTTATGTATTTGCATAGGGATGCACCAAAAACATAATAACACCATTATTTGAACAATAGTTTACAGATATAAAGCACTTTCACAATCATTATTGTACTAATTCTTAGAGTAACACAGGAATTAGTATCTCTGTTTTAAGACAGGGAAACAGACTGAAAGACACATGACCCAGACTTTCTGAATCTCAAATATGCCACAGCTATCTGACCTCTTACTCTCTCATTATAGCTCTCTAATTACAATTAAGTACTAAATTCAGGATATATTTTAGAATCAACTAAAAGAATTAATGTAAACTTTTGGTTTAATCAAGTATTTTAATGAATTTACATCACAAGTAATTTGTATGTTTTATCTTTTCTGGTGAAAAACTGCTTGAGATCTTAGCCAATAATTACTTGTCTTTGCTTTTTCAACAAAGCTACAGCTTGAGGAAAAATAAGTCCCTAACCTTGAGTTATTCTAGTCTGACGACCCATAAAATTGCCTTCTCAGCATTAGGGACAAACACTCACAGAATCCCTATCCCCTCTGTTGTATCATAACTCTACAGATATGCCAGATTGGCATCCTTCCATTCCATCTCATGCTGGGTGAAGTGCCCTTCGATGATAACAAATCCTTAAAACAAAAGAAGCTGGCTCTGCTCTCCCCTATCACTCCCTCGTTCAAAGGAAATTCCTGAAACCTGCAGAATAAAAAAGCAATATAAGAAAAAGAGAATATTTTCCAAGTTTTTTAAAGTATGAAATCATGATGCATTTCACATGCAATCAACCTAAGAAGTTATACTTAAAAGTCAAGGGTTGGAGCAGCAACTTTTGCAAATGCTGGTGCTCTGTAACTTAGGTGGGTCTCAGCCTCATTGCCAAAAAGAAGAATAAAAAGTGAGAACTGAAATCATTGTTGGCACATTTCATTAAAAATAATTTTTAAAACACAAGCCACTTGACTGGCGGGTATGGGGCCTACAAAGCTACATTAGATCGGATGTGGTAAAGACAATCAGTTGGGCTGCTCTGGGAGGAAGTGGGGCACCATGGTTTTGAGCAGAGTTTCGAAGTCAGACAGAACTGCTTGAGAGCCCTGGTGCTTCCACTCACCTTCTGTATGGTCCTGGACTGGTCACATCAATATGCCAAGCCTTGGTTTCCTCATATAACATGGTACTCATTATAGTGTGGCCACCTACACACCATGTGGTGAGATAATGCACAAGTGCTTAGCATTGTCCCTGACACATTCGAGCACTCAAACAGTAACCATTAGGATGCTTTTAGCTTTCTTGTCACTCAACCTAATTGCATCACACTAGAATCTGCTGCCCCATTTAGATAGTTGGTATTAAAACAGAAGAGTATGAATAACTCAACCATTCAAATCAACTCTTTAATGTAAACAAGAACATATTTAATGTTGCTCCTTGAAATAGTTAAGAATCAACATACAATAGTCTACAAAAAGGTACTGCAAGTTTTGAAGTGTAAGAAACATGTGCCTGAGTCTAGGCAGGCAAAAATAAATATACACTCATGTAAATCATACATTATATGGATTCCAGCAAAATGACCTATTTTCACGTCTTTTCCCTGCAAGGCTGGTGAGGATCTGCTTCCTTCCTCTACCTATTTCATGGCACAGCAGTTCAATTCCTTTCTTTCTCTCTCCAATTCAATTCAGCACAAGTTCGTGTAGTTACTGCTCTTTTCCTGTGGTGGGCCTTGGGGACACCAAGACGCATGGGATCACCTTCTCTTCCCTCACTTAGAATCGGGGACCTGGCCTTCCCATTTTCAATCACACCTTACCCCTCATCTTCCTTCAACAAGAAAAAAACCTTGGGAACCACTAATTTTAGTGGGAAACTTTGCCGCAGAGACTAAGATCCAGATCCCGGGCCTTTTACTGGATGTAGATGAGAGAAGGAGAAAGAGAAAGCAGTGTGGAGATGAGCGTAAATTTGATTATAGCTACGAAGACTTGACTACATAAGAAAAACCAGAAAATTGGTTTGGATATGTCAATATAAGTCTAATCATACTCATTTATGCCAACTGCCTTACTATTTGTGTGTAATGGCCATGTTACACCATAACAATGATGTACTTTAATAAATGTGGTTCAGAGTGGTTCTAAGTTTTATTGGATTAGCTGAGTAAATGATATACCTGGATGCCATCCTTCTCAATTTCTTCTTCAAGTTACATAGTCTTCTGTTCTCAATTTTAACAGATCACCAAAACCATTATTTTTAAGCTATTAGAATGAAGTTTGGGAGAGGGTCTCTATTTATTCAATATTTCCCTTGATAACTATTTATTATCTGAATAATTGCTATATAGTTTTTCTGTTCCTTGTGCTTAGAATTTGTGATATTTTTTACTCAGGTGCTTCATATTCATGAAATAGTAAAAGGTATACATTCTACCTTTTTTCTCTTATACACACACATATGTATATGTGGACACCTTCCTAGTATTCTGATTATATCCTAAAATTAACATATTATGTTGCCATGCCAGCTTAGTTTAGAGCTCAAATAACAAATACTCCAAATTACCACCATACAGAACATTGAGCCTGTTCTTTACCAAGACCTACAACCAGATAGAAGCCAGTACTGGAAGATGCAGGCAATGTGCAGCTGTTCCTAAAATGAAAATGAGATTTTTTCACTTCTATTTCAAGCTCTGCTGCTATTACTTGGAGCAATCTGATTCTCTACCCATAAGGTTTTACTTCAATTTTTCTTGAAGTAAATGAAAAGTGAATGAAAGAGGAATGCTTTAGTGAATAATTTGGGTTCTTTGGGTAAAAGTTAGCATCATAAGTAAAAAATGCTTTCTTTTTCAATTACAGAGAAATAGAGTGTTAACTGTTTAAAAATCATTAGGCAGTATTAAAGTATCAGATGCTATTGAACTGTATTTTATATACACACTGAATAACAGCTGGGTGGAAAATTAATTGCAAGGATCAGTTGATAGTTTTTTAAAATTCAATTACCTTGTAAAATCTAACAGGCAAGTGGCTTCAACAAAATTACTTCTTCAGGTGAAAATAATACTACAGACATGGCGGAGCCCTATAAGGTTGTTTTAAACATATAGAGTTTGTGTTTGTGAGTATGCAGGAAAAGACTTCCCAAGTGTGAAAACTAATTATATACAAGAACTCTGTATTTTGTTATCATTTAAATAAAATGTGTCTTTAAATATGGAAATTTTTGGAAAACTCACTTCATTGTCCAAAATTATGAAGACCATTTAAATTTTTTAATTGGAGATGGAATATTCATTACGGCTTCCCAAGGGACCTTCCAGTTGGACTGGGCGAAGAGTTCATTTGCAAAGTGTACTTAATAAAACATCCAGTGACCAAGTCCCATCAACAAACTGTATCCAAAAGGAAACATGGCTCAGGATATACCCGGAAAGAGCATCAACTGTTGCTAGTTTGCCTGCTCTCCCTGTCCCCATTAGTCTTTGGGGTGAGTAAATGAGAATTGAGTGAAATCTCTTGGAGGTTAGAAGATCTTGCACTCATTAATGGAGAAGAGCTTCCTTCTGTTGCGTCTCCTAGCTTGATTGACGGCAGTTCGGACGGCGCACTCAAAAACCTGCTGTACCCCCCGGTTGCTAAGGGCTGAGCACTCCAGATAGCCCTTTGCTCTCACATCCTGGGCCAGTCTCTTCCCTTCTATGGCACTGATGCAGGAGGCCCTGTGGGGCCCCATCTCCCTCTGGTCAGTCTGGGTGGCCACCACTAGCACAGGGGTACAGGGCAAGTTGCTCCTGATTTCACCAATCCACTTGTTCTTCAGGTTCAGGAAAGAGTTATGGTTGGCCACAGAGTAGCACATTAGTACCACATCAGCCTGCTGGTAGGACAGTGGACGGATGCTTTTGAAGGCGTCATTGCCAGCTGTGTCCCAGAGACCCAGGCTGATCTGGATGCCATCCATGAAGACGTCCACACCTGTGTTCTCATACACCGTGGGCTTGTAGGCTTCTGGGAAGGTCTCCGAGGTGAAGCGCACCAACAGGGAGGTTTTCCCCACAGCAGAGTCTCCCACCAACACACATTTAATGGAACTCAGCATGTTCTCTGCCTGGATTCCTAGTTAAAAGTTCAGAATCCCTGAATGGCTGAAGCAAATGTCGTTCAACACAGGGAATGAAAACCAGACGGGTTTGTGTCCTCAGGACCTCTGACAGCAATTTGCAGAATATTTCTTCTCTCCATCCACCTGAGGGAGATTTTGATCTACTTTGAAAACCTCCAAAGCCTGGTCTTCAACTGGAACAAAAAGAGAAGAGGGAAAATTGAGTCTTTCTTTTTTCCCTTTTTGATGAAGGGCACCTCCTCACTGGCAAATTGATTAAACATGGGGCCCATCTCAGTGTGGCCATACTACCCCATTCATCTAACCCATTCTTCCTCAGCAAAGAAAGCTTGGATCTGGCATCCTCTAGCACATGTACCCACAACTCCACCCAGTCAAGAAGCAGAAGCTGATTTTATCTCAAAAACCAGCCTAGTGATAAAAACACAAGCAATTGCTCTGATCATAACATGAAAAAGACCTCAATAGCAACCTGGTGAGTGAATGAGAAGTTTTCAAGCAACTCTATACTGGCTTCCGCTTCATAAAGTAGAGAAGGCAGCTGACAGCGCTGTCTTCAGTTTCTAACGGATCCCAGCCACTTTGGGAATTGCAAGAGAAATGTGGTGAGCAACAGATATTATAAGCACATCCTTTCTTTGATTGATTCATCAGCCAGTCCTTGGTTTATGTGGGAATTTGTGTTGAGGTCAGAGAAAAGAAATTACTGGAACTCTAAAAATTTACTGTTTTTTCCCTTTAGGTTTCAAAAAACTGGCTACCCATATAACGGAAAGGGCACACTGTCCTTGGCATTTTCTGCCTCTAAAATCAGACTCCATTACCTATTCAACATGGCTTTGAGCACACGTTACTTGATCTCTAAGCTTCATTTTTCATATCTGCAAGATTGTGATAAATTTAAGAACCACTTCTCAGAGATGTTGTGAGGATTAAATTATTTCTTTCTGTCAACGTTTTTGGATAGCTACCTATGTATCAGGAAGTCTGCTAGGCCTCTAGTTAAACATATTCAGTCCCTGTCACTTAAACATAGCTGCATAAATGACAGAATTCGAATTTCATGAAAGGGTCAAATAAATTCTCATTCACTGCAGCTGATAATGCTCCAAACAAGGAGATCAGCCTTGGAGACAGTGTCCCATCTGTCAAGGAACATCATCACAAGGCCAGCCCAGCTTCAGACAAAAAAAAGTCTTTCAGATCAAAATCCTGAGTAAAGGTTATTAATATATGCTGAGCTTATAAGATTCCCCACTGGTGATCTTCCTCACATGTCACATGTAAAGCTATGTAAAACAGACCTATAGATCTGTTTCAAAACATAATTTTTGTAAATCTCTCCTCTAAATCCCAATATTCCTTTCCAAGACATTTTTATCCTTGTCAATCTGCAGTTTCTGTTTGTTTAATTAGACATAATAGCCTTTGCAAATGAGCTAATCAAATAAATAATTTATATAATTTTCACGTATGCATTTTTTTAATACATGAGAGCTGGGCGACCTTAGCAAAGTTACTTAACCTCTCTGAGTTTTGATTTCTTTATAAAAATGAGAATAAGAAGATCATACAATCATTATAAGGATTCAGCACATGAAGAGTCTGGCTTAGCACAGAACCTGGCACATGAGATCTATGAAGAACCATCCTGTTACTTATTTCCACTACCGTTTATTTAAAATGCCAAATATTGAATGTCCATAGCATGGGGGTTAGAGTGTCAAATGTTCAGCTGGATTCTGTCTGCTGACTTACACCGGGTCACTCTCACACATCATGGTCTTAGATGTCTCTTTGTCAACAGATCTTTGAATAAGGTCTCCCTGGGGACTTCATCAGGTCTCAGACTTTAGATCCTTAGACCTACCAATGACTTAAATATATGCGTTTGTGATCCCCTTGTTATTTAGTCCAAAACTAAGACCTCTTAAGGCATTTCGAAGCTTTATTTTGACCCCGGTGTAGCAGGCCAGAACTAGGAAAAATGTACGTGTGTTGGACTTTTGGACATTAGATAAAATGTTTCTTAATAGATTAAGAGCCAAATTTCTTGAGTAAATATCTGCAATAGTAATCAAAACAACATGGTACTGGCATAAAAAGAGATACATGATCAATGGAACAGAATAGAGAGCCCAGAAATAAATCCACACCAATACACTCACTTAACATGACAAAAGAGGCAAGAATATACAATGGGGTGAAGACAGTCTCTTCAATAAATGGTGCTGGAAAAATTGGACAGATAAATGCGAAAAAAAGAAACTGCACTCAAAATGGATTAAAGACTTTAAAAAACCATAAAACTTCTGGAAGAAAACATAGGCAGTAAACTCTCTGATATTGCTAACAGTAATTTCTTTTTGAATATTTTGCCTTGGGCAAGGAAATCAAAAGAGAAAATAAACAAATGGGACAACATCAAACTAAAAAGTTTGTGTACAGCAAAGGAAACCATCAACAACCGACTAAATGGGAGAAGATATTTGCGTATAACACATCTGATAAGAGGTTAATATCCAAAACATATAAAGAACAAAAAAACAAACAATCTAATTAAAAAATGGGCAGAAGAACTGAATAGATACTTCTCCAAAGAGGAGGAAATACAGATGGCCAATGGACATATGAAAAGATGCTCAAGGTCACTAATCACCAGAGAAATGCAAATTAAAACCACAATGAGATATCATCTGACACCTGTCAGAATGGCTATTAGCAATAAATCAAAGAACAAGCGTTGGCCAGGATGTAGAGAAAAGGGAACCCGCATGCACTGTTGGTGGGATTGCAAATTGGTACAGCTGCTATGGAAAACAGTCTGGAGGTTTCTCAAAAAATTACCTTTTGACCCAGCAATTGCACTTCTGGGTATTTATCCAAAGAAAACCAAAACAATAATTCATAAAGATCTATGCACTATGCACCCTTATGTTCATGGCAGCACAATTTACAATAGCCAAGATATGGACATCAACAGATGAATGGATAAAGAAGTTATGGTTCATATATACAGTGAAATATTAATCAGTCATTAAAAAAAAATGAAATCGTACTATTTGCAACGACATGGATAGATCTAGAGGTTATAATGCTGTGTGAAATATATAGAATCTAAGGAACAAAAAGAATGAACTAATAAAAAACAGACTTATAAATATAGAGGACAGTCTGGCGACAGCAAGAGGGGAAGGGCGTTGGGGGGCTGGGACAAAGGAATGAAGGGTTAAAGAAGTACAAATTAGCAGTTGATAGATGGTCATGGGGATGGGGAGCACGGCATAGGGAACGCAGTTAGCATTAATGTAATGGCTAGTGGAAAACCAGAGGAGAGAAGGAGCAATTAGGGGGATCATTTTATAAACTATATAAATGTCTAACCAATGTATTGTATACTTGAAACTAATAATAAAATAAAATTTTTGAAAAAAGAAGTCAATGAGGCAAAATTGTTAAGAACATATGCTCTAAATTTGGGTAGATCTGCAATTGAATCCAGGCTGCCTAAATGACTACCTGTGTGATGACCTTAGAAGAGTTTCTTAATCTCCCTAAGCCTGTTTCCTCTTCTGTAAAATTGATGTAATAATACTTGCTTCACAATGCATAGACAATAAAATCCTGAGCACAGTATAATGTAAAGATACTAATATGTACACAGTCAACACATAGCAAACACGCAATAAGTAGTCTTTATTAGTGGTATCGTTGTTAAATAATAATTACTGAGTATAATGATAAACAAATAT